AGTTATATATAATCATTAAAAATATGTTAATAAAAAAGCAGAAATTTCTCAAATCTCTTAAAGTTACCCATAGTTTCTTGTCCATATTGCATTACCCATAACTTAAAATTAATATATTCTTGTCTGTTACTTCCATTATAATACATTATAAGTAAAAATATGTTTTTTTTTCTTGTAGTAAAATTTTTTATTTACTTTTATTCTTTTATTCTATTGTTCCTATTAATGTATAAATTTATCATATTTTCTATAATACCTATATTATTATCTTTATAATTAATTAAGACAAAGGTGTTGTTTTTATCTTTTAATTTATTTGTTTTTTTAAAATTTTATTAATTAAGATAAGACAGACAATATCTTCACAAAAATATTCACTTTCTTTTCATTAAGATTCAAAAAAAAAAATTAAATTCAAATTAAGTATTAGTATTAATATTATCCTAAATTGCCAAGTAGTTTTATAGTAGTTTGTCACTTAGCTTAACCACAATGCAAAGTTTATTCGTTATTCTTTAATATACTTTCTCTTCTCAAAAATTAAATAAGTCTTATCCTTCCAAATATTTCTACATTGAAATTATTTATTTATATTTTTTTCTCTTTTTCTTTTAATTTGTGTAATTCTATTGTTCATATTAATGTTTAAATTTATCGTATTTTTTATAATACCTATATCTTTATCTTTATAATTAATTAAGATAGAGGCGTTGTTTTTATCTTTCAATGTAATTTTTTTTAAATCTTATTAATTAAGATACGACAGACAATTTTTTTTTAAATCTTTACAAAAATTATTCACTTTCTTTTCATTCTGATTTGAAAAAAAATATTTTATTTTAAATTAAGTATTAGTAATAAAATTATGCTAAATTGCCTAGTGGCTTTATAATAGTTTGTTACTTGACTTAATCAGAATGAATTTGGTTTATAAATTTTCGATATTTCGAGAAGTTAACAATATTACAAAAAAGCACGCATGCTTAAAAAAAAAAGTCTTTCGATGTTACCCTTTCAAATACATATTTCTTGCAAATAACCCTTTTAAATGCCTAAAATTAAAGCGGCAAAGTAGTTTTAAATAGGATTTACAATGTCCCATAACTTTAGTCATTTATTACTTATTAGTCCAATTAAAAATGAAGATTTTCCAAATCTTCGAATGTGATACAAAATTACAACATTATATTTTCTTCTTATATATATATATATGTGTGTGTGTGTGTATATATATATATATAATATATACACATATACATACACACACACACACACACACACACACACACACATATATATATATATATATATATATATATATATATATATATATATATATATATATATATATATATATATAGAGAGAGAGAGAGAGA